GCCCCACGGACTCTGCCCTACAAGCCCGAGGGAGGGTGGACTCGAGGGCAGGGGTTGGGCTTGGGTTTGGTTTGTGTGTGCAGTGCTGACTGCGGACTGGACAGACTCGGAGGCTCAGACATGTCCCCAGAAGGTGGCACATTCTCTGCTGTGGTGTCCAGGAGTGGTGACTGACCTTCACGTAGCAGTAGTAGTGGCCGGCGTGGCAGCTGTAGCCCGAGTGGACCAGCACGGCGTACAGCCCGTAGGTGACCGGCTCCCCGCTGCCCTGGGACATGTACGGGCGGATGTTGAGGAACTCGGGGTAGCCCACGTCCTGTGCAGGAGAGAGAGTCCGGGCAAGGCTAGCACCATGTGGCTTGGAGGAAAGCAGCCGCCCAACATTTTGCCCATGATTCTGCAGGGGCTGGCACAGCAGCAGGGCTGCGGACCCCCGGTGGGCAGAGGCCTCTGGAACCTGATTGCACTGCTGTGGCACGTGGTGTATAGCCGCGGCCTGGCCTCCAGATGAGCTGCTCCCCCCATTCCTGGTCCCCAGTGGCAGAGGAGGAAGAGGACTCTCTCTCTTTGTCACACCCCATGGCTAGAACGTGCTGGGGAGTGCAGGGAGGGGCACCACCGAGACCACGAGACCCCTCTGCTGCGGATAGTGTCTTTCTGTGTGACTATGCAAAGGTCACTCAGCACTTCCTCCAGACATGGACACTCAGAAGGGCCGTAACACACCTGCTCACACTCACGCACGATGGTCACTGGGCAGAGCTGACACACAGAGAAACACAGGTCCTCCTGTGTGTGCCATGACCAGTGCCCGTCCCACGGGTGGTGCCGCACCCCAAAAGGGAAGGTGCCCCCACCAGCCTGCAGGGCCCCTGGGTTCCCTCCAGCCACTACCCCACCTTGCGTGCCCACTACCTGGCCCCTCCCTAGAGGGGCCTAGTCTGGAATCTCATACAAGGAAAGATGCAGTAGGCGGGGTCTCCCCAAGTCCCCGGAGATAGGGACATGAAGACAGTGGGTTTCTTCCATGGACACTGCTCAAGCCCCTGGGCATCCTCTGTGGGCCTGGCCTCTTCAGCCAGACAGTGTCCGGGAGACAAGCTTACAGCCCCAAGTACCAAAGCATGAGAGGCCCAGTCACCACCCCAAAACAAACAGACCATTCATTCTCAAACTGCGTCCCGCTGGGTCCCCAGCCCCGGACGTTAAGAGAAACAGCAGCTCCTCCAGAGTGGAGCCACAGTGACCTGGCTCCCAGTGGGGCCCGGCCCCATGTCGTGCAGCGGGGGACTTCTGCTCTGTGCCCCTCTCAGAGAGCCACAGCCGCAAATGCTGCCGCCCCAGGTAACACCGGACAGGGTGGGGGACAGCGGGAACCCAGGGGCCACCATACCTGTTGCCCCAGGCAGCCTGGACCTCCCAGAAGAGGGTAGAATCCCGAAGCAGGGTCCTGCCAGAGCCGTGCCCTCGGCCCCACTCATGGACACTCACCTTGGTAATCTTGCCCCCACTAAAGTTGGCAAAGCGCTTGAGGGACAGGGTCAGGACGCTAGAAGCCCTGTGGATGGAGAACCGCTTGCTGGCTGGGACCTTCTTTTTGCAGCTACGGGGCAGAGAGAAACAACTCGGGGTCACCAGCCACCCCGCGCCGAGGTGGTGCCTCTCAGGGGACGGAGGTGTTAGAGCACTGCCAACCGAACCACGGTTGTTAGAGCACTGCCAACAGGGACCCCACGATGAGAAGGGATGAAGGGCCGGGGAGGGGGCAGTCGAGGGCTCTGGGAAGCAACCACTGGGACACGGGACATGGTGAACAGGCCAGGCCGTTGACTGACTGGTCAGTCAGAGGCACTCTGGAATGGGACCCCGACTGCCGCGTGGCTGTCACACCAACAATTCAACATGAAAACCACCATCAACTATGGGAGTTTCTGCCCCAGGGAGGGAGGGGAGATCTGTGATGACGCCCCCCCAGTGGCCCCACTGTCTGCACC